TTTTTCAGTAAGGCTTATGTTGAAGTTTTACTAAAGAAAAGGCTAAAAGCTCAAAAGGGTGAACTAAGATTCTCTAATATAAAGAGAGGTTCATTTAGGCTATTTAGGCATAATCAAATAAGGTCGTCATCATATATTTGAGATCTGCAAATTACATATTCAATTAAGAAACAAAGCAAGTTCTAGAGATGCAGCAAAATATGAGAATAGTATCACATAGCAAAAATGGTATGCATGAGGCTCAAGTCTCACCAAGGAATTAAAGTGATAATGTCAATTAATCAAGCCCACAATCCACTTTTTCATAATTATGTGCACAGAATGACAAGACTACCTCCTTTTGAAAATTACAAGTGTAATAATCATGTGAGAATGAGAAAAATAACATGAAATTTCTTACACGTAAATGACTCTCGAACTCATTTTTTATTTCAAAAATCATATTATTTTAAAATAATTTCCAAGGTTTTCTTGAATAAACTTTGGTGGCGATACCTTTGATTTTTTAGAAAACATTTTTTATTCTTAAGATATGTTTTTCTTAAAACGTTTTTCACCATCCCATTGCACTTGACTTGTTGCGACAACATTTTTTATTATAATTGTACTTAAAATATGAAAAAAAAGATTAATTATAAATTTTAATCTAGCTATATAAGAAAACATAACTAAAATGGAGGTTGTCACTACTCTATCAAATAAAAAAAAAGAATATAACATTTAAAAATTAATTCACATTTTTTCATTATAATTTTTTATGATAAATAAAAGTGATAAGTCCGCAATTAGGCACTTTTCTACGGTCTATATATTTATGTTTAGCCTTTATTTTAATTAAATTTTACACTATTTATATGTTAAATATGCAGAGTAGTATAAAGAGGCTACAAGTGAATTTTGGGTGCATTTTAGGCCCAAATTAGTGAAAGGTCAGAGCTTCGCAATAGTCAGCACGCCTAAGCCTAATTATAAAGAGTTTTTAGGGTTTTTAAACCCTATAAAAGAGATTCCTTAAATATCTTATGGGACACGTTTTACATCTTGTCTTTCACTCTTCGATCATCTTTCATCTTGTCTCTCTTGCACGAGATCGTTGGCATACTCTTGGTGGGACTTGGAGCTTCGAGCGACTGTACTTGAAGACCGGGATATCATCTCTTTTTAGTTTGCTTTTCTCTATGGCTTTGTTTACTATTATTTTAGTTCTTCTCTTTAGCATGAGTAACTAAGACATAACTAGGGCTATGGAACTACTATTTATGAATTTATGGGATTTTAAAGTTTGAATCTATATTTGGTTTCTATTCATGATTAGCTTTTATTCTACTGTGCATAATTATAATTGTAATGCCCCATATTTTGTAATAATATTTTAATATATTAATATAAGTGATATGTAGATTTTCATGCATTTGTATGTTTGATTTATGTATATGATGATGTGTATATGTGTGTAATAACGTGAACATGTATGAATATGTGAAAATGATTGTGAAGAGGTACGTATATTGTGGTTGAATTATGATGTGGTTTGGTGATTGGGCTAGAATTAATTGGATATATATATATATATATATATATATATATATATATATAGTGTATATACAGGATAAGTGTGGGTGCTGCAGGGGTGTTCTCACTGTAGCGAGAAGGCCATGGGCAAAGAGCATGAAACTGTGTCGTTCTCGTTGTAGCGAGAGTTTTCTCGCTGCAATGAGAGGGCAATAGTGGAGGGTGCATTTTTTGGTACAGTCTTGCTATAGGAGAGGGTATCGCTGTAACGAAATTCTACAGAAATCAGAGTGCAATTTTCTCTGAGATTTTCATTGTAGCGAGAGTGTCGCGACCAGAGGGGTATTTGAGGGGTTAGGATTCGAGGAAACATGTTATTTTACATTTCCCTCCCTTTTTTTGCAATTCTCTCAATCTCAAACCCTATTTCATCGATTAAATTGCCTCCAAAGCCGTTTGAGAGTAAGATTAAAGGTTGGATTCACGTTTGGGGCTTTTGGAGGTAAGTTTCATGGTTAGGGTTTTGGTTTCTCGATCTCATTCTCTGTTTTCTCGATTTCCCTTGATTCTCATGGGATTCTTCCATGCCTCTTCATTGTTGATTTTGTATGTGGGTCTTCAATCTGAGGTAAGGGGAGACTCTACCCTATCTCATTTATGCTTTGAACTCCGTTAAATTGCTATGTATTGCAATGTGGTTGAGATAGAAGGTAGGGAATTGTGTGTTTGGATGGGATTGATTGATTGGAGTGAGATTGTGTAGAGTAGTGTCATGGATGTTGAAAGGTGTGTATGATGGATATGGATTGTGTTGGAAATGTTATGTGTATGGAATGTGAAGTGAGTGAATACGGGCATATGTGCGTGTATAAATATGAATACTGTGTGTGACTGAGGATATGGCTGAAAATGTGTGTGAATGGCATGTTAAATGCAGTTATGAAAGTGTTAGAAGCTAAGAATGGTTCAACGATACACTGAGGGTGTGGAAGATGAGGGCAGTAGAAATACCTTGGGGAAGAGAGGGTGTTGGTGACACCAACAGTGAGCGTGGGTGCACCACAGGCTACACACTCTCCTCCTGACTCATCCTCTAACTATCACCCTTGTCGAGAGGCTCATGACTGCACACATTGTATCCATGAAGCGGGGGCTAACTAGTGGCCATTCATGGTGTGAAACTATGATGACAGTGCCATAGTGAGTATGGCTAGCATGCAATGAGCGAACATGGTTATTGTTCATTAATTGTGTGATGGTGCAGTGAGTGTACCGGTATGTAAATTGAAATGAAATGTTAATTGTGGTTATAAATGCTTGATTTAAATTGTATTAGAAAACATGTGAAATATGAAAGATGAGACTCTATATTTGTTTGTGTGTATTGGATAGTGTAGAGTACTCACCCTTACAGTTATTTTAAAGGGTGACCAAGACGATCAGCACTAGGCTCAGTGAAGGAATAAATGATACTACTATAGGGCTTAGACAGTTTATTTTAAAATTATGATGTAATTGAATTAGTCTTGTAGCAATTACTTGATATAAATTTATAAACCTTTATTATTTCGAAACACTTTGATGAAAATATGTGTTGGGAAAATATATTTAAATGAAAATTTTATTATTCCTATTTTGTAAAATTTTTATTTCAAAATTAAATTTAAGGTGTTACAATAATCCTAATTAATTATATCGTCAGACGACCATACTTGATTAGTTAATAAATTTAAAGGATAAAACGAGATAAAAAATTATGTGGACTAAACCAATTTTCTTTTCCAATCATTATTAAATTAACAAGTTCATAGGTGCTTTATGCTTTCTTTAATTGATGTCTTGCATGATTATTGGGGATATTAATTTAGAGAAAAAAAAATCTTAGTATTGCATGATCATTGGGTATTAATAGTATTTGTATGAACGATTGATGATCACAAGAAATCAAATTTAGAGTTAAACGAAAAAATAACATAAAGGATTGAATGAGAAAACCTATATGTCCTAGGTTCCTCTCTTATAAGTTTAACCAAGACGTGTGTTATGTTATTTGCTTTTATTCATGATTAATTTTGGATAATACTGCTAAAGGGCTTAGACAGTTTATTTTTAAATTATGATGTAATTAAATTAGTCTTGTAGCAGTTACTTGATATAAATTTATAAACCCTTATTATTTTGAAACACTTTGATGAAAATATATGCTGGGAAAATATATTTAAATGAAAATTTTATTATTCCTATTTTCTAGAATTTTTATTTTAAAATTAAATTTAAAGTGTTACAATAATCCTAATTAATTATATCGTCAAGCGACTGTACCTCGATTAGTTAATAAATTTATAAGATAAAATGAGACAAAGGATTAGGTGGACCAAACCAATCTTTCTCTTCCAATCGTTATTAAATTAACAAGTTCATAGGTGTTTTATCTTTCTTTAATTGATGTCTTATATGATCATTAGGAATATTAATTTAGAGAAAAGAATATTAGTATTGCATGATCATTGGATATTAATAGTATTTGTATGAATGATTAGTGATCACAAGGAAATCAAATTTAGAGTTAAACAGAAAAGTAACATAAAGGATTAAATAAGAAAGCTCATATGCCCTAAGTTCCTCTCCTATAAGTTTAACCAAGATGTGTGTTATGTTATTTACTTTTATTCATGATTAATTTTATAAGTAAATTATGGTTCTTACTTAATTTTACATCTTTTAGGCTCAAATAATTGAATTAAAAAATTCTTAATAATTGAAAATAATATCTGTGAGACGATAACTTGAGAACTCTTTTTGAAAACCTTTTATTATTTTTTTATGGATACACTTGCCCACGAACAAAAAGCAAAATATCTTTTACTTAAGTTTTAAATACCATTTTTTTATAATAATTTCTATAAACATATTATACTTTAATTGTTTAAAATCTTTAATTTTTTTTATAATAGTATATCATAAATCTCTATAACATTTTTTATGGTGAATCTTTTTTATGTACAAATAATAATAATAATAAAAAGCAGTTTTGCAACAGAAATTAACATCAGAAACTATTTTTAAAATATTTTTCTTTTAACGACTTATTTACATATTTATTTTTATAAAGATCCAATTAAAAAAAAACAGATTTCATATAAGGAATAAAATATTATGTAAACCTTCCTAAATTTCGAATATTAAAATTACATGTTACTCCCTTTTCTCTTATTAGCTTTCTTCCCAAAATTATACCAATCAGGTAGGTACGTTCCAGTTCATCATTTAAGTTCATACTATTCTTGTTTCTTTTTGTACATTCTGTTTAACAATTCTTTTCTACTTTGTATCTTATCTTACCTCGGGCTTTCCTCACCGTTGTTCCTATCTTTTTCCTAATCAAAGAAAATGTTATAAACATGCAGATATAGAATTTCTCTATTAGAAATGTGTCAAATATTCTATTTATTACTTTTTCGAATTTCAAATGATTTTACAAAGGCAGATAAATATAACAGGATATCTTGATTTCTGAAACTCCTAAAGCTACACTTTACCAAATGATAATCAGAAGGCAGACTAAAATTACATTATTGCTACACTAATACAAGCCCTGATGATATTCACTTATGGTTCTTGGCAAGAAGGCAAAGATGATTCTTCTTGTGTCGTGCAAGTCCTGGCAGCCCTTGAGTGTCTATGTGTTCTGGTTTCATCCCTGCAGGAATTTCCCAATCGAATGAATTGAGAAGGTTTGCAGTTATGAGCTCCACTGTGGCAATTCCCAGTGATATACCTGGGCAAATTCTACGCCCTGCACCGAATGGAATTAGCTCAAAATCTTGTCCCTTAAAATCTATATCATTGTCTAAGAATCTTTCTGGATAAAACTTTTCTGGGTCTTTCCAAGCCTCAGGGTCCCTTTGAATGGCCCAACCATTAACATACACTATTGTCTTGGGTTGTATTTCATATCCATCTATAACAAAACGTTTATTAGTTTCTCTTGGTATCAATGGTGCCGGTGCATAAAACCTCAGTGTCTCCTTTATCACTGCCTTCAGATATACAAGCTTTTGAATATCCTCTTCCTCTATGAACTTTTGGTTGCCACACAGATTTCTAATTTCTTCTTGAGCTTTTGTCATTACTCTTGGGTTCTTTATCAATCCAGTCATCACCCAAACTGATGTAGCTGCACTTGTATCAGTTGCTGCTACAAGTATGTCCTGTGATCGTCAAGTAAGAACTAATTAATATCAGAAAATTTTCTTTATTTGTTCTTTCTTGCTCCTTTTGAATTGAAGTTCATTGTCACTGTGGCACACAATAAAATCATAGATGTGGTATAAAGTAGCAGCAGAGGTGATAAAGAAACTATTGGTATCCTAGAAGTTTAATACCAATGTGCATGTTTGCACTACAACAAACCGTGCACGGTACATTGCAAGGACTAAACATTTACTTGCCAGTTCTATTAAATCAATTTATAATAAATAAATATATCAAATATATATTCTTAAAGATATAAATGTTAAATTCATAATGTTAATAACTTAAATCCCATATTTAAATTAATTATCCAAATAATAATACTTCAATGTATTCTTTTTATTCTCATGTTATATATATATATATATAACTTAAATGTATGGTGTAAATATTCATGTATTATAGATTTAAGGCTTTTTGATTTTTAATTTTCAAAAATTTTATTTTAAAACTATTTTATAAAACCATTTTTAGAAAAAATAAAAAAAATTATTCGATAATTTAATTTTTAAAATTAATTTTACTTAAACTTTTTTTAGTTTTAAAAAAAGAGGCATAAAAATAAAAATAAAAACATCCAAACAGTAATTCCGTTTTTTAGTTTTAAAAATTGAAAATAAAAAATTATTTTTAACATACAGGGAGCAGGGACTACGGAAGACTACAAACGAATGATTGCTTACAATTACGCGACATGAATGATTGCTGAACACACGAAGTATATCCGACCGTTCACATAATCAACAAAGGAAAATAGAGAGGGAAAAGCATGAGCACATACCAATATGACAGCTTTGATGTGATCATTTGTGAGATCTATTGAAAGGCGATCCTGCTTCTTAAGTTGAAGCAACACATCAACTATATCCTCCCCCTCTTTCTTTTCTGTTTTGAGGCAACTAGGACTGAGATGGTCGTCAACGACTTCTTGAAAAAACGCATCCAATCCCTTGAAAGTGTTTTCAAGGCGAGCAAGTAATCCTGTGAGTTTATCAATCCACCCTAAGAAAGGAATGTAATCTGAAACGAAGAAGGAAAGGAACATGGCCTGTGACTCATTAAGCAGTTCCTGGAACCTGCTCCTCTCAGCTCCTTCCTCATCATATTTCCTCCCAAAAGCAATCCTACATACAACTGCGCTTGAGACCGACATTATGATCTCACTCAGGTTTGTAATTTTCGAAGAACAAGCGTGCCCTGAAATCTTTTCTATCATTAGCATCACCTCAGATTTCCTTACATGGGAAAAGCTAGATATCCGTTTGGAGCTGAAGAAATGGACCACACAAATTTTTCTGATTTCTCTCCAGTAATCATTGTATGGGGAAAATATCATGTCTAACCCACTGTAAGACAATTTTAGTGAGCCATGTGAGGGGGGTCTGCTGCACAGGTCAAGATCATGGTCTTTGAGAAGCTCCTCTGCCAGTTTGGGGGTGGAAACAACAATGGCTGGCTTAAAGCCAATTTGGAGGGAGAAAAGGGGGCCATAGATCTTTGAGAGTTTCCATAGCTGGAAGTTGAGATTTGAATTGTCAAGTTGATGAAGATTGCCAATAATGGGAAGGCCTCTTGGACCTGGTGGACGACGATTTGATGGGTTCTTAATGCCTCCGTATTTCTTCAAGAGGATCAATACCAACACAGGAAGAGCTAGAAGTATGTGCAGAAATGACACCATTGTGGAAGAGGCCAGACACCGACGTAGCTGGCAAATATCTACCTTGTGTGTGTTTATATACACAAAAAAATATCAGATCTTTTATTTTAAAATTATATTTTAACTCAAACGGATGGACTACGTACTGAAATTTACAGACTCATTTTAGGTTAATACACCTCTGCTTTGGAATTGTATACTTTTGTTTGCGGACAGACTTAACACGCAACTTCATACAGACTCTCGTTTATAGCATCGGAGGTAGAGACAACCGATAAAAATTTTCTATATTTGATGAATTTGCGGATAAATCATTCAAAATTGAAAAGATGAAAGTTAAAATAGTTAATTAATAGAACAAAAGTATTTAATAATCTAATTAATATATATATATATCAGCCTTTCGTTTATTCTAAAATTTAAGATTTGGTAATTATGTATTTTTAAAATAATTATAAATTTTAGTTTTATTTCTCAATTTTAAAATATTTTTATTGAATAAAATGATATAATACATTGAATTATATTATTATTTTGATGATATTACGGTATAAAAATTAAGATTTAATAAATTTGTTATATTTTAATTAAATTTAATAATAAAAGTAGAGTTGAGTGTGAAAATGGTAAAGATAGTAAATTTAATAAATCAAAAAAGAAAAAGAGGATTATTTTAAAAAGATTAATGATGACAAAAAACAAAAAAAATCACTTTGACAAGCAACTAGCTACAAACATTTAAGAAAACACGAGTCAGAGTAATATTATAAAAATGCTAATAAAAACTTAGTTTAGTTATCTTAGTAAATATTTTTTTTTGTTATGAAAATAGGTTTCAGCTAGTTAAGTGCTAAAATACCTTTTCAACCGCACTCATTAAGATGTTTTATATTATTTTATTTTACATTGAACTTTTTATAATATTATTTGATATATTATTCATTTTTATTTTTATTTCTTTATTATTTTAGGTGTGAAAAATAATCATTGTTACCAAGAATAGGCAGAGGTAAGAAAGGGTATTTAGTTCGACGAATTTTCAATTAATGATAATTCTTCGGCGGCGGCGGCGGCGGCGGCGGCATGCATATCAATTATTACGATTGAGGAAATTCGGAAAGAATATCGTTACAACAAATCAGTGATTTCATTTTAGGTAAATTCCGGCCAACCCTTAAAAATTTATACGTTTCATGATTTTTAATTAATAATAATTAGACACATCTTTAAGTAATAATTTTATTTAATAATAAAATATATATGATAATATATTTTTATAATTTGTTAGATACGATGCATAAATTTTTTTAGAGTATTATTAATTATTTGGAGGAAATTATTTCATAGTCTGGGACCGGCCACTCACTGACTCGCGTGTTACTTTTCTATTGAGATAATGCAAAGTTTTTTCATTGTTTCGGATAAAATAATGGCATTTTAATTTTTGTACATTTGTAGAGTTTTTTATTTCTCACTTTTGTAGGTTTATAAAATAAAATATGAATATCATTGTCAATCATGTTCATCTATTTTAAGAAATGTTCCGTGAATTTTCCCTTTTAAGTGTGCAGGGTATATCGTATTGGATTTTCTTTTAACCTTTGATGTGATGTGGAGAGAGAAAGAAAATAATATAAATAAATGCAATAAAATACAAATATTCAAAGTAAATATTTAAAAACAAAATTCAAATAATAAAACCTATTCCAAATTTGTTATAAAGGTCAGCTACTTTATTTACTTTCACCGTGGATGTGATGTAGGATTGATGTGTTTTGGTTTGCAGCTTGTCCTTACCATGGTACCAGCAACATGAGAATCCCGTTTCATGATCACCTGGTTAAGGTTAAGGTTCAAATTTGACGGTATTCTCGCTCCACGAAAATTCTACAAAGCTTAGCTCTTGAGGCTAACAGCTACCAAGATTACAATACAAATAAATTACATCCGTTAAAAATAATATTTTGCATAAGTTATTAAATTAATTTAAATAGATTCAATATAATAAGCAAAAATATTTTACATCAGTTATATAATTATTGTTAAAAATTGTGTAATATATAGATAACAAAGACCATAATTTAATGCCTTGAGATTCTAAATTGGACGCGAGATTTAAGTTTGTTTATATGATTTGATTATAGTCTATTAAAAAATATCTCATGGTGTTTCTAAAACATTTAAAGAAATACACTAATAATTTCATGCAAAAATAGAGTTTTTTATTTATCAAAACATCAACTTTTAGTGACCAAAAAATTTTAATTCAGCATAAGCTAAATAGTACAAATCATAACATGTATGAACAGTTAGGAAACTATTCACAGAATAAAATCCTAAGATATTACGCTAATACCAATATACAAGTCCAAATTGAAACTCCTTACCCTTTCAAGTTTGAATATACCTTATCAATCTAAGACAAATCCGTCACAAAGAAGGTTTAGGAAAGTCAAACTAAACCGAAGGGTTAGAAAAAAAGCCTTTCATGATATTCAGCCAAGAAACAGTAAAGGAACAAGAGTTGGTTAAACCAAGATGGATGGTTTAAGCCATTAGAATTTAGAACCAACAATTATAAGTTTTTTATGAATTGCTCTAAGATTTTGATTTAAAGAATAAGTGATGAAGACAGAGAAAGTGAAGAAAATATTTTTACTAGTTTCAAAATCAGGCCATTGAATCTTTTTGTGGTGAAAATTTGACCAAACCATCAAATATAAAGTTGCGGTAAACAATTTTCCTTAATTTGATAATTAATTTAAATTAATTAAAAAGGGATAACTATGCTTTAGCTAGACCTAAAACTAAGCTGAATATGAAGCAAGAGAGACTTAAACTAGACTTAAAAAATAGGATGACTATTCTAACCTGGGCATGTAGAAACTGAGAAAATAGAAAATTAGGTTTGTTTGATTTGGTTTTAATTTTTAATTTTTAAAAAATATTTTAAAACAATTTTATAAAACTGTTTAGAAAAATAAAATAAAATAAATTTTGTTTGATAATTTAGTTTTTAAAACTATTTTTAATTAGACTTTTGTTAGTTTTAGACAAAAAAACCAAAAAAAAAAAACCTAAATAGCAATTCTGTTTTTCAGTTTTAAAAACTGAAAATAAAAATTAATTTTCAAAATTAATTTTTAAAACTTACATTAACAAGCAAGTTTTTCTATTTTTAATTTTAAAAACTAAAAACTCTATTTAAAAAAAGAAAACAAACAAGCTCTAAGTTGGTCATTTTATACCTTGGGGTGTTTTGGTCATTTTGCATACAAAATTTTGAAAAATTAATATTTTTATCAAAAAAATTTTTGTTATCCAAATCTATTTTTTTCATCTCAAAACATATTTCTTCAAATTTTTATGACATTTCTATATTTTAAAAAAAAATATTTTATAAAACACATTATAGGGACATTTTACTCTTTTATCAAGAAAAAATAAGAAAAAATATAACAATTTATCGTTAATTATTCTTGCATATTCATTGTCTGAATTAAAATTTTAAAATTTTAATTTTTTTTATCAATCAAAATAGTTTACAGGTTGTTTAATTGCTATTCAGGGGCAGTTTGATCAATTAAAAATCACTAAAAAATATTATAAAATATTTTAAAATTAAGAATATCATTATTATACTCAAATTACTCTTAGATAATTTTCTAAAATGTAAAACAGTATAACCACATTTACATTTATGATTTACACAAATAGTAAAAAATGAGAGGGTTACAATAAGAATTAATAAAAGTGATTTCTATTTGGCAAGCATTTTAAAATTATAATGTAAAAAAATAAGAAAAATTAATTCTAAAATATCTTCAAGAGAAGAGAGAAATAAGAGGAAAAAAAGAAAAGAATGAAGAAAAGTGAATAAAGAGTCCCTGTTTAAAATTTAGGATTACTACAAAAGCAGAAATGACGTATAATAATTCCCATTTAAACTCAACCTTTTTTAGCCATTCAACTCTTTTCTTTCATAAGCTACTTATTATTCTCTTGATTTTATGACAACACTTATTATCCTCACAATGAATGAATACGGTGTAAAATGTTTTCCAAAAATAAGAGTGAAGGAAAATATAGAGAGAAAAACTTAATAAAATCTTCTCTTATATACTTTCGTCTGAAAAATCTTATACTCTAGTCAAATTATAAGTTTTTAAAGTTCAAGTTGAAATTTAGTTTACTTGGGATAGTGTTTAGAACTTTAGAGAAAAATAAAAAGCTGTGGCGAAAAATAGAGAAAAAAATTATTTGCCGCTAGATTTCTGATTTTTTTTTTTTCACTTATTTTCTAACACTCTTTGTACTTTTTGCTTTATTTAATTTTCCCTTTTAGCTATATGTCTCACCCTAAATTTTGTAACCATGTCCCTAGCTAATACGGAATATGTCAAAGACTGTTTGTCCTTGTCATCATCTCTCAACCATGAATATTTGGAAGGAAAGAAAATTTACGAAGGAAGGTGACTATTATATCTCGATTACATAAAATACAAGGATAGAGTCTTATTTATACCGTGGAGACTCAAATTTCACGTCATCCATGAGGACTCTACTTAACTTATAGGAACAAACATGTAAAAAGTAGCACATGCATGATTAATTTATTTTCTAATTAATCATTTCGAATATAACATTGACATGCATATTAATTCCAATTCACACTGGTTTCTTAGCAACAACGAAGAGAGGATTTTTCTTGTGCTGGACAAGTCCCGGAAGCATATCAAAGTCGATGTCTTCCCTCTTTATCCCTTTGGGCATTTCCCAATCGAAGGAATAAAGAAGATTAGCAAGTACAAGCTCCACGGTGATAACTCCCATATTTATGCCCGGGCAAACCCTTCGACCCGCACCAAATGGAATCAGCTCGAAATCATATCCCCTAAAATCTATGGTGCTGTCGAGGAATCTCTCAGGATAAAACTCTTCTGGATCCTTCCATGTTTCAGGGTCTCTATGCACTGCCCAAGCATTCACATACACCAATGTTTTCTCTGGAATTTCGTATCCTGCAATGCTACACCTTTTGTTCGTTTCTCTTGGTATAAGCAGAGGCACAGGTGGAAACAATCTCAGTGTTTCTTTTACAATAGCCTTAAGATAAGGAAGCTTTTGGATATCATCTTCCTCTATAAACCCCTTCCCATCAAACTCATTTCTAATCTCTTTTTGAGCTTTCTCCATTACTCTCGGGTTCTTCATTAATGCAGTCAAAGCCCAAACAACTGCGGCTGAACTTGTATCTGTCCCAGCAAAAATCAAGTTCTGCCATTGACAAAGAAATGAGAAATTCATTATTATTAGCAACTATCACACAAATAATAATAACAACAAAAATAATTAGTAATAAGTTAATATACAATTTAATTTTTGAAATTTTACAACTTCTGGTGCTTTAACTCCTAAATGGGTAAATATATACACAAATAGCTCCAATATTAGTTACTAACTTCCTAACTAGTTTACGTGTTAAGTTGTCATAGTTATTATTAACCATTTTATCTCCCAAAAGACTAATTAAAGTGTAGACGAAAATTTTCAGGAATTAATCGTAGTGACATAAATTATTAACTCACTGGATGATTATGATGGAGTATATGTATAACATGACCATGTATAGACAAGTAGGAAAAATGGGAAAATGAAGCAAAATTAATGGGTCTTGAAAATTAAAAGAAAGGTAAAATGAAGAAAAAAAAATAGACTAACCATGATCAAAGGTTTAATGTGAGCAGGAGTGAGATCCATGGAGAAGGAACGATCATTCTTGAGTTGAAGCAAGGCATCTATTACATCCGCTTGATCTGAAAGTTTCTCCCTTTTGGGATCAAGGTGTTCATCAATAGCATTCTGGTAGAACTCATCAAACACTTTGAACATTTTCTCTAGACGACCCATTAATCCAGTGAGCTTATCAACCATCCCCCCAAGAAGAGGAATATAGTCGGTGTAGAAGAAGGAAACTGCCAACTCTTGCGCTTCTTTAAGCAAGCCATGGAACATGCTCCTCTCAATTCCTTGCTCTTCGTACCTTCTACCCAAAGTAGTTCTACACACTATATTGCTCGTGAGACACGTCAGCAACTCATGCATGTTGGTAACTTTGGAGCAAGAAGCGTGTGCTGATATCTTTTTGATCAATTGAGTAACCTCATATTTTCTTATTGAGGAAAACATTAAGACACGCTTTAGGCTAAGGAAATGGATAATGGAGATTTTCTTCGTGTGTCTCCAATAATCTCTGTATGGAGAAAAAACAATGTCTAACCCATTATATGAAAATTTCATTTGGCTGATTAAGGAAGGTCGGCCACAGAACTCAAGGTCATGAGTTTTCATTACCTCCTTGGCTAGTTTAGGTGAGGAGACAACAAGGGTTGGCCTTGAACCCAGTTGAAGGGAAAAGATAGGGCCATATTCTTTTGAGAGTTCGTAGAGTTTCACACAAAGAGAAGAAACGTCAAGTTGATATAGATTACCAATGAATGGAAGGCCTCTAGGACCTGGTGGAAAGGTTGATTTCTTTGTTGTTCTGCATTTCCAGAGGAAGAACAATAGCAAGAGGGGACATGTTAAAAGAACAAGTGATAACATATTTTGGTCCATAATTAAGGATAGAGAGAGAGAACTGCTATTGTAGTAATAATCCGAGTCTATTATAAACATGCTTAGGGATAGAAGCGTGTGTGTGCGCGCGCGCGTCATTCCTCTGTCCTTTTGTCAATACAATTATCGTCGGTGACTATTAATTATTAATACGGTAAAAGAAATGGTGAACCTCAATCTGTAATGAAAGGGCATAATACTGTTGAAGTATAGTTGTTTTACTAACACTTCTCCTAGTTTTCTATGGGATATTTTGCCTCATTATTTTGCCAATCTTAATGATTTGACTTGCATGTTTTACGATGTAGCAAATGTCATAAATCAGTCCACGCCATGATGTAAAAATATATTCATTTAGAAATATGAGTGTGACTTGTTTGTCAAACGCACGTATCCATCCTCGTCACATTCTGCTCCTACATGAACTATAAGACCAAAATTTGGTCACAGAAAAGCCAGGCAGCTCAAATTAGATGTGTAATTACCAATTATTTATACAAATACTATTAATACTCAATAATTATGTAATAATAATATTTTTTTAAAATTAATATTTTTAATATCCAATGATCATACAAGAGATCAATTAAAGAAAGCATAAAATACTTATGAACTTGTTAATTTCATAATAATTGGAAGAGCAAAATTGGTTTAATCCACCTAATCTTTTGTCTTATTTTATTCTATAGATCTATTAACTAATCTAGGTATGGTTGTCTAAGGATATAATTAATTAGGATTATAATTATGTACAATAGGATAAAAGTTAATTATTAACGGAAACTAAATATAGATTCAAACTTCAAAATTTCATAAATTTATGAAAAATAGTTCCCATAGCCCCAGCTATGGACTTAGTTACTCATGCTAAAGAAAAGAACTAAAATAATCATAAACAAAGTCATAGAGAAAAACAAACTAGAAAGAAATGATTTCTCAATCTTCGAACACGACTGCTCGAAGCTCCAAGTCTCACCAAGAGTATGCCAATGATCCCGTGCAAGAGAGATAAGATGAGAAGTGTATCAGAGAGTAAAAGATAAGATGTAAACCGTGTCCAACAAGATGACTAAGGTATCTCTTTTATAGGGTTTGAAAATCATAAAAGCTCTTTATAATTGGGCTTCCCGCAAATGAGCACGGCCGTGCGAGGCCTTGTTGAAAGGGTATGAGCGTACTTACTGCTGCGAAGCTATGATCTTTCATCAATTTGGGCCCAAAATGTACAAAAAAAAAAAATCCACTTGTGGCCTCTTCATACTAAACTGCACATTTAACATATAAATCAGTGTAAAACTCAATTAAAATAAAGGGTAAACATAAATATATGGGTCATAGAAGAGAGCCTAATTACGTACTTATCATACATTAAAATTGGTTTTAATCAATTTTGTTAAATTTATTGTTTCTATCTCCTCGACTGTAATTGTATTTATCATAGAAATCAATTTAAGTTTTTTAATATTATCAACTAAAGTACATTTATTTTACATATATTTATTGTGTAAGTAAAATTTGATTATAATCAATTTTTATTTTTTTTAATTACTTTAGTTTAGAGGCAATAATTTGGGCAATGTAATGTTTGGATGGAGATACATTTAGTTTACATTGTCTATGAGATGTTGTGTAACGAGTATACGTGTTTTGTAAAAAGCTAAACACTTCATTGGAATTTTCTCTGGTTTTGTGTTTCGTAGATGCTCTCCAACCTAAGTTACCTCCCTTAAAGGTTTCCTTGTCACTTCTAAGTTTACAGGTCTTGATTCTCATATTATACGTAATATAAGAGTTAATATTGTTTTATTGGTTTCTTAGCTCCATAAATAATATTTATTTTATTATATTATTGTTTTAATATGGATTAAGATAAATTTGTTATTCAGGATGTTATATAATTTTTAAAGTTTTTTCAAATACTTGTATTTATATATAAAATTTATAACACTTAATACATTATTTCTATTATTTTAAAATAAATTATATATAATTTTATTAAGTTTATTATTTTGAGATATATATAGAACTAAATTAATATTTTTATAATGTAAGATATATTTTAAACAATTTTATTGATGTCTCAAATCAATGAATGAATAAGTGCACCTGTTGTCACAATAATACCATTAAAAAGGAGTACCAAGTGTCATATCTATAGAAACTATTAATTAAGATTTTCAATCTTCAATTACTCAGTTGTTAAATAACACAAACAAAGGAATTATGATGATAATTTCACTAAAACAAAAAATAGCAAATAGAAAGAAAATAGATTTCAAGAATTAAAATATAGAAAATAGGGTTAAGTAAATTCAGATGAATAAAGCAAGTACCTAGATTATAAATCCTCCTAAGCATCCAAACAACTAGGTTCCTTCATCAATTACTCAATTTTAATCTTTTAGACCTGTAGGAATTCCTAAAATAAGCCAATAATTTTCTCAAGGATAATAGCTCCTAAATCTCAATTGATTAACCAAAATCTCTTCCTTAATTAACACCTAGGTTGCATTAAATTTGATTTGTGAATTTTGCCATTAAGGTTGTCTCTAATACAAAAGACTTATGTCATTCTTTCTCTAGAGTTGGATTCAAGCCTTTCCAAATGAGCAATGATCAATTCATACTAGATTTCTACTCAAAACCAGAAACATGAAAATAAGATAGGAGATAAACTGAATCATCAACCAATAAGCAAAACTACTCAAATGAACTTAAGAAAACAAAACTTGAAAAAGTCTGAAGGGGAATTACTAGAAAGGATTACAAAGAATTCATTACATCTATGTAGTCAAAAAGGAATTAGAAATTAAACATAGAGAAACTATAATTCAAGAGTAGAAAATAAAAGGAAAGTCTTATTGTCATCCCCGAGTTGTAGACGTCACTCTTTTCTACCTTCAAAAACGTCCTCTTACATTTTTACATCACCTCCTTTTTATATTGACAGCCCCCTTACTCATTTTCTTGCAGATGCTCAAATCTGACGCACATCAATTTACACTCCCACATACACAGCCATGTACTTTCCCGTGTATATCTCTAATTCTTTAATAATTCATCCCTTTAAGCTTTCGATTGAACTATACTCTTGGAAACACAGTTATAAAGTTGGCCGTGTATATTTCTGCTCCAAATACTTTGCTTAATTTACATGATCCGAGAAGTACACAAGCATGTACATGGGCATGTACTTGCCCGTGTAGATCTCTGCTTTTACGCTCAAACCAATTACTTCAACCCGAAAAATACACATGCAGATACATGGGCAAGTACGCTGGTTTTGTAGATCTTCAAAAGAGGTTAGCATTGCTTCCCTTTTTAATCTATTCTTTAAAAACTCTCATTCCTTATTCATTATTCCTGAAATATGAATAAACAATCTGATTAATAACAAATTCTCACAATGGCTAGTTTAAAAATTCCAATCATTACTCATAAAATGCATTAGAGGATTAAGCATAAAAGGTATTTATCATTTATTATATATAAATATTTATAAAATTATAATTTTTTCATTAATTAATAAATTATATATATTAAAATAAAATATTGGTTTAGTCCACCTAATCCTTTGTCTCGTTTTATCTTATAGATCCATTAACTAATAAAGGTACGATCGCCTAACGATATAATTAATTAAGATTATAATTATGCGTAATAGGATAAAAGCTAATCACGGACGGAAATCAAATATAGATTCAAACTTCAAAATCCCATAAATTCATGAACAATAGTTTCCATAGCCCTAGATATGGACTTCGTTACTCATGCTAAAGGAAAGAATTAAAATAATTATAAGTAAATCCATAATTAAAAGAAATAGCAAACTAGAGTGTGAGATGAGTTCCCGATCTTCAGGTATGATCGTTCGAAGCTCTAAGTCCTGCCAAAAGAATGTCAAAGATCATGTACAAGAGAAACGAGATGAGAAGTGTATAACAAAAGGGAAGAATGTGTGTAGAGTGTAACACCTTAAATTTAATTTCAAATAAATAATACTTTCGCAAATTCAAAATAATAAAAGTTTCATTAAACATTTCAAAATAGGGAAATGGTTACAAGTTTATATTAAATAACTGTTACAGGACCATTTAAATACAACAATTTCAAATTGACATTCGAAGCCTTATAGTAGTTCCATCCAACCCTTCACTGAGTCCGGTGCTGATCGTCTTGATTACTTGAAAAATGAATGTAAGGGTGAGTACTCTACACTGCCAAACACACAAACAAGCATAGAGTCTCACCTTGCACATAATTTACATAATTTCTAATACACTTCACACAATATAATCACAAGCAACATTACCACTCAATTCATTTCTAATTCAACTTTGATGCACTCACGACACCAAACAATTTACACACACGTAATTATCAAAGAATACTCCCGTGCACTCAATGCATGCCAGCTACGCTCACTGTTGCACTGTGATCACAGACTTTCACTATGGATGGTTGCCGGTAACTCCCGCCTCACGGATACCACGTGGGTAGTCACGGGTTGCTCAACAAAGGTAGTGGTCAGAGGTCTAGTCAGGAAGAGAGTGTGTGGCCTGTGGTGCACCCGCTCCCACAGTCGGTGTCACCACCACTCCCTCTTTCCAAAGGTATTTCTACCGTTCTCATCTTCCACACCCCCAGTGTATCGTTGAACCATTCACAGCACGTTACACCAGCGTTAATTACACCTCATTCACGCACATTGCAATATTCATTCTCAATATACGGCATAAAGCCCACCATCATGCATAATAAACAGCACTAGGCCCTCATTCGTTTTACAGTACACGACATAAAGCCTATATTCATTCATATTACACGACACTTAGTATATAATCCACATTATTCAATCATCAATCAATGATACAATCACACACATTTCAATCAAGAGTATATTAACCCAACACAACCAATTCACATTACATTCAAACACACCGTAATTTCCATCCACACACTCATTCTTACTCTCTATCTCAATCTCATTACAAAAACAT